GAGCTCAAGCGCCCATTAAAGCCACGTGACCACCATGGGTATGTTTTGCGTAGGGTTCACCGAAGCATCCCCGCAACCATCACCGGTCCGCTGACCCTGCCGTACTCGTTAGGAGGCATCGGAACGTAGCGAAGTTGTTGCTGTTGTTGAGGTGGTCGCGGAGGAAGCGCGGCAGTCGGAGGCGCTGATGTTAATTGTGCCGACCCAGGCAGTCCCTGGCTCTCGCGCAATTTCCAAGCCGTGCGTACTTCTGGAGCGTTCTTGATCAACTGTTTTTCAAGATGAGCGAGTCAGCAGATTCGCACAATAGGGACACGCAAAACATGAGGATTGCGTGAGAATACTGCGACAGTACCTCGTCGACCTCAATGCCGTCCGTTATGCTGACTAGGATGTTCGCCACGATATCCCTGTGGTTCCCATCCGTCTTGTCGTCCCGAAACCGCAAGATCTTCCAGTTCTTCTCTTGAAAGTCCCAAGCCACTTCCACGACACGATCATCGTACTGTTCGCGAGTCTCTTTCATCCTAGAGGGGGTCGTAGACGGAGTTCCGTTTAGGTGCCCTAAGTGGGGAGAAGGGGGAACAGACTTACTTCTCCCACTCCTCGTCGGTAATCCTGATGGTATCAAAGAAGTCGTACTTACGCCCACCACACCATTGCAACAAGACGAAAGTCGGCTTGCAGTAGTAATCTAAGCCATCCCCGTGCAGCTTTGACGGCGGGAAGCGAAGCTCAAGCTTGAAGTCGATACTGTTCTCGGACGGTGGCTTCCACTTGAGACTGAAGGGTTAAATTATTTCAGATCTCCACGTATTTCCCCCTAGACTTGAATGCGATGGTGCAACTTACATCCGGTTATCCGTCCCGATAACATATCCCGAAGACGCACATGTGTATATCAATCCGTCGTGCTTGTGCTCGAGTTTGGGTATCACTTCTTTCAAAACGAGTTCAATGCTATATGATCTCTCCATCCGCTTCACTTTGATCCTAATAAACAAATAAATAGATCGAGATGAGTCCAGCCGGAAACAAGTTAGCAGTTAGATTCGGACTAACTCAAAGGGAAGAGTGGAGCCCATCGCCGGTACGTCCTGTAACATCTTCTCGAAAGGTCGCACCACCCAATGTTGCAATTTCTTGATGCAGATCAAAGATCACGGTCAATCAGCGCGATCGGACCACTATGAAACAGGATCTGAGAACACGACTCACCCCGTATCGTGATGTCAGGGACTTTTCCATAATGCTGGTTCCATCTACGGCGACGCAGTCGAAAGCCAGAAGCCGCCTGGTCTCCTGGGTCACACATTGCAGATGAGTATGGGATGAGCTGCGGTAGTGAATAAGGCACCACCTTTCCCAACGGCGAGGTATCCATCACAAGCTCGCCGTCTAGTAGCGTATTCCTAAGACCCATCCGCGGATCGTCAAAATGAGGGAAGTAAAGCCCATTCAGCCGGCGATAGTCATTTTTCCGATCTATCTTTTCATTAAGAGCAAGCCTTGTCAGCCGGATCCATGAAATTGGGCTATAGTGTATTGAAGCTCACTAGATAGACCTCTTGCTCATTCGTGTGTGGCACCAGCATGATGAAGACCAGGACGCGAATGCCATCAGACTTTTCGCAGACCCAATAACTACGGGAAAGGGAGGATTAGACCGTATCTCTCATCAAATGAAGGAGTAAGAGCTGCACTGACTCTTCAATCTCCAGGCGGGAAAGGTCCTTCTTCATGAAGCTGACAGGTTGGCTTCCTGGAAATCTGGCGAAGCATACCATCAGCTATGCACTCTATGAAACGGGAAGTCGAGGTTTACTTTAGGGTGTTTATACCAAGAAGCTCCCGTACGGCATGTTTTAGATATTCGGCGTGCTCTCCACGAATGACCTCTCCTGGCAAGATGGGCACCGAAGACATTCTGGAGGAAGGGATAAGAGGGACTCAATGTTGGTGAGCGAACTCTATTATCTCACGAGCCCCGATCGCGTATCCTGTGCACCAGCACTAGAAACACAGACTACGTCCAGCATGGACCTTGCTTGTACTGCTCACTCAATCAAAGTATCTCTCTGGCATGGGATTGGACATATACAGGAACTCTGCCCGCAGTGGGTTCATCACTCCTTAATTTACCGGTGAGATGTCATTACGAAGCGTGGAATTGATATCTTTGGATGCCAGTGCTGTTGGTCTGGATAAAACTTGGATATTTGTATGGTGGAAAACATCCTTAGCATCATCACCACGTGCAGGGTATTCATTGCAACAAGCTTAAAGCCAGGAACGAATTGGGTCATGTCATGGCGTTCTTGAGGCTACCTACCTACCACATGGATAAGATACAACGGGAATGCCAGCGAGTATTTAACAAGATAACATGAATATAAGCTCTTCAATAGGTGGGACCAAAGGGGCCTTAATCCAATGGACGCAGAATGTACTGTTAGAAAATTTGCACTGGACATGATGAGCTGAGGACATGCACCTCTATCTCCAACTTATACACAAGAAGGCAGAGAAATGATGGCGACAATACTAGAAGTGTTTCATCAGCTACAATATGGCAGGCGGAGTCCTACACCAAAAGTCTGAAATTGATGGAGGTGTTCAGGGTATTGACGAGTCCTGAACGAAGCGCAAGAGAGTATCCTTTTACTGGTAGTGAAAGCCGCATCGGCACAAGCAAGAACACGAAGGACCAAGACGAATACTGTGTGCTGTCTTCTAAGGGAAGTATATAGTTGAGTAGCGCATTAGATTACTCTGTGCTGCAGTTAAACCATGATACTCTTGGCAAAACGAAAAGCATGCATTGATAGCAAGTGTTTGAATGTCATAACACACTAGATACTCAGCGGGAGCTCAAGCGCCCATTAAAGCCATGTGATCACTATGGGTGTGTTCTCACCGAAGCATCTCCGCTACCATGATCCACCCACTGACCCTGCCATACTCATCGGGAGGTATTGGAACATCACAAGGTTGTTGTTCTCGTTGCCGCTGAGGTGGTCATGGGGAGGTGTGGTGGTCGGGAGGCGCTGACGTTAGTTGTGCCGACCCAGGCTGTCCCTTGCTCTCGCGCAATTTCCAAGCCGTGCGCACTTTTGATGCGCCCCTGACCAACTGTATTCAAATGGGCGAGTTAGCAGGTTGACACAGTAGGACGTGCACACGTGAGGCTTGGATGAGAAGACTGCGACCGAACCTCGTCGACCTCGACACCGTCCGCCATGCTAATTAGAATTTTAGCCACGATGTCCATGTGGTTCGCATCTGTCTTGTCGTCCCGAAACCGCAAGATCTTCCAATTCTTCTCCTGAGAGTTCCAAGTCACTTCCACGAGGCGGTTGTTGTACTTTTCCCAAGTCTCCTTCATCCTAGAAGGGGTCGCGGACGAAGTTCAGTATAGACGTCCGAGAACGGGGGAACCACAGCCGACTCACTGCTCCCACTCCTCATCGGTAATCCTCATGGTGCCAAAGAAATCATATTTGCGCCCGCCACACCATTGCAACAAGACGAAAGTCGGCTTGCAGTAGTAATTTAAGCCTTCCCCGTGCAGCTTTGACGGCGGAAAGCGAAGCTCGAGCTTGAAGTCGATGCTGTTCTCGGATGGTGGTTTCCACTTAAGCCTAAAGGTGGAACAAGGTCAGACATCTATAGGTACCAGCTGCGATGGGACAACTCACAATCGGTCATCCGCCCACATGACATATTCCGAAGATGCGCAAGTGTATATTAATCCGTCGTGCTTGTGCTCGAGCTTGGGTATCACTTCTTTCAAAATGAGTTCAACGTTGTATGATCTCTCCATCCGCTTCACTTTGATCCTAATCCACAAATGGAGAGATCAAGGTTAACCCAGCAGGAAACCAGTCGACAGTGAGACTCGAGCCAACTCAAAGGGAAGAGTGGAGCCCATCGCTGGTATGTCCCGTAACATCTTCTCGAACGGCTGCACCACCCACTGTTGTAATTTCTTGGTGCGCATGATGGTCAATCAACGCGATCTGACCATTATGAAGTAAGATCGAAAAATACGCCTCACATCGTATCGTGATGTCAAGGACGTTTCTATGATACTTGCCCCATCTACGGCGATACAGTCGAAAGCCACAAGCCGCATCGTCTCCTAAGTCATACACCCCAAGTCAGCATAGGATGAGTTGGCCTAGAGGATGAAACCCAATAGATAAAACCCCACCAGACCCAATGCCGAGGTGTCCACCACAAGCTCACCGTCTAGTAGCGTATCCCTCAGGCCCATCCGTGGGTCGTCAAAGTGGGGAAAGTAAAGACCATCCACCTGGCGGTAGTCATTCTTCCGGTCTATCTTCTCATCAAGAGCAAGCCTGATTAGCCTGATCACCCAACGTAGGGAGAAGCGTATGAAATTTCACCAGATATACCTCCTGCTCGTTCGTATCTGGCACTAGCATGATGAAGAGAAGGACGCGAATGCCATCGGGCTTTTCGCAGACCCAATAACTAAAACAAAGGTTAAATCCAATTTCTTGTTACACAAAGAAAGAAGGGTTCTATTGACTCTTCTGTCTCCAGACGGGAGAGGTCCTTCTTCATGAAGCTGACGGGTTGGCTTCCTGGAAATCTAGTGGAATATGCGCTCGGCCAGTGCTCTTTCCGAAACAGGAAGTAAAAGTTTACCTAGGAGTGTCTAAACCGAGGAGTTCCTTTACTGTGTGTTTTAGATATCCGGCATGCCCTCCACGGACGAGCTCTCCTGGCAAGAGAGGTATCAAGGACATTGTGGAGGCAGGGTTTCAAAGATTAACTCTATTATCTCACGAGCTCCTAGCATAGATCATGGCCGATTTAAAGTTGAACAGTCCAAGAAACTATGGGTTACAAGCCAGATTCAGGGGCGTAGTAGGCGCACGGAACCTGTACGCTTTGGCTGTGGCTGTGGAGAACATATTGGAATGCTTATATTTTCTTTCCATATATTGTCAGGTTGTCCGAGGCTTAATGATGCAGATTTGGCCGAGTGGTCTAAGGCGGTGGCCTTAAGTTCTGTCTTTGCTTACCCGAGGACGTGATCTCAATCCACTGGAGAAATCCGCAAGAGTTCGAACCTCTTAGTCTGCAATATTTTTGTCTCTCCGCCCAGGCACTTGGAAGATTGCGAGAGGCGTGCATGGTCAAGGAATCCACTTTTTTAAGGACCAGAGATAGCAGCATCAAGGTTTTCATGAATCGAGCTATCTATTCGTCGATCTACACCTGCAATGGCCGGCTTCCAGGGACTGGAAATGCTTCCGCTGTCGAGTAGAAGATTCGCACGGCTGAATCTGTGAACACTGATCCACCCATCATCCCGCCTCAGGCGCAAATGAAGGGGAATTATCTGTACGTTAACACAGCGCAGTGCCATGTGCGATTTTAGACGAGCTCCTTCGTGCCTTAAAGATAGGATTAGTTTGGGAGAGTCTGAGAGTGATGAATAGCTGTATTTCAAGTGGAATATTCTGTCCGGCAACGCATTAGGTGGCTTCGTTCTAGAGTTGACCATCGTTGGCAAGAGACAAAAAGATCGTTGACATTCACGATCGAGATAGGATAGCAGCAGCCCATTCTGCCTAAGAACGATGAAGCGAGCTATCCAGCCCTCAAGGGTGATGCTTCATTAGGCTAGCCTTGCAGTTTAGCTCATTCCTGGTGGCCCCTCAGCGGCAGTTGTAACTCTTCAAAGAATTTTGCGGGACGAGCCCGCCACGTCTGGGGAAGCCAATTGTCAGATATAATTGTTACGAATCGATATGTGTTCTGGACTATGCAAAAGATCTGTGTACTCAGCCGACCACAATGGACGTGGTTCCGTGGTGAATGCGAACACATACTGCTATTGACAGTGCTGGGCGAAGGTTGAAAGGGCTGAAGTGGAGCAAATTGTTTCGACGCTGGTGATTTGACGCAGCGTAACAAAGACTGGATGGCACTTTCGAGATTTTGAGCTCTTTATTATAAATAAATCGTTGTCGGCGGAGTGGAGGCGGCATGCCCTCGGTCAGAACTCCGAGCCGCAATCCGTCCTCCTCTTAACCCTCATCTACGGCCAACCGCTGGTCCACCGATAGCCTCATCTCAATAATAAATCCCATACCTCACACCAGTGCCAATCAAGTCATCGTGATATGCCAAGCAACCCACAAGCTCCTGGAGGACTGTGAGTTTTCTCTCGTCTGAGTAGCAACGAAGTCCTAGTCTAACTGATTGCCTTCCCTTATGGCCTTGTCCCCCCTCAGCACAAAAAAGATTCGCATCACTGGTAAGCACCTATTTCATTGTCTAGGATAACAATGTTATTGAGAGCAGGCGCCCGTCATAGTCGTTGCGGCGGACGGTCTATCCAAGCGGGACGTATTCCGGCTTCCAGATCCCTTCGCGGTCATCACCGTAGATGCAGAGCAGACGCACTCCACCAGCGTAATCAAACGTACCCTCAATCCGTACTGGAATGAGAACTTTGATATGTCAGTCCAAGTGATGGTGGAATGGCTCATCAGTTGCCTCTTGGACTGACATTTCCCCAATCTGGTCCCGCAGCACGGTCAAGGACTCCTCGGTCATTGCAGTTCAGATCTTCGATCAGCGCAAGTTTAAGAGACGTGACCAGGGTTTCTTAGGAGTCGTCAACGTTCGCGTATCTGAAGTGATTGATTTAGAGCTCGGTGGTCATGGTGCGTAATGGTGGAGTGGCGATCAAACTGGGCGGTGCAGATCGCTAATTTTGGCCTTTCACAGAGATGCTGACGCTGGATCTGAAGAGGTCCAACGATAACCTTGTCGTTCATGGCAAACTCATCATCTACCTCTCAACCAATACTTCCACTCCGATCACCAATCCGGGACCGTCGCAAGTCCCAGGCGGTGCTAACCCCCTGACCGGGATCACCAATGGCTTGGGCAACCTCCAAATGAATGAATCCAATGCCTCGCTTTCGCCCATCGCTGGTCAGCAGGATCTTAGTGGCTCATCCTCGATCAACCGCAATCCCAGTGCAACTAGTTCCAACATCGATACCCAGGCAACCACACCCACCATTAGCAAGCCCACGCCTCAGCCAACGATTTCCTCAGGGGACCAACCACTGAGCGCTTCCGCTCGCCCGACTAGCGCACACATGCCTAGCGCTAACTCACAGCAATCCGTGAATCAGCCTGCTGTGGCACCTGCCTCAGCGCCTGCTTCTGTTGCACCTGCTAGTCCCAACGCACGCAACTTTGCGGCCACAGAGGACCAACAGGGCCCACTACCTCAAGGCTGGGAACGCAGAGTCGATCATCTCGGACGGACGTATTACGTTGACCACAACAGCAGGACTACTACGTGGAATCGGCCCAGTACAAGCGCTGCGGTCAATAACAGCGACCAACAGGCGGAGACTGATACCGCCCGTGCAGGCCATAACCGTCGCATTCTCGCTGACGATCTCCTCGACTCGCAGCAGCCACCCAGTATCAACCGTACAGCGTCCGCAACTCCCGCCACCGCCGGTGCTGGCCCGGTTAATGTGGGCCCAGGGGCTTCGCAGACGACGCCTGGAGTTGGATCGCTACCTCCTGGATGGGAAGAGCGTCATACTCCTGAAGGGCGTCCCTACTACGTCGACCACAATACTCGTACTACCACCTGGGTCGATCCTCGTCGTCAGACACTTGTGCCTATGATCGGAGGTGGTGGGAACAGGCTCACTGTCCAACCTACTACCGTTTCGCAGTTGGGTCCACTACCGTCCGGCTGGGAGATGCGTCTCACTTCAACCGCTCGAGTGTACTTTGTAGATCATAACACCAAAACGACGACGTGGGACGACCCTCGCCTGCCCTCGACGCTCGACTCGAACGTGCCGCAGTACAAGCGTGACTTCCGCAGGAAGCTGATCTACTTCAGGTCTCAACCCGCCATGCGTGCGCAGCCTGGAAACTGCCAGATCAAGGTCAGGCGTAATCATATCTTCGAGGACAGCTATGCGGAGATCATGCGTCAGAGTGCGAATGACTTGAAGAAGAGGTTAATGATTAAGTTCGAGGGTGAAGATGGTCTGGATTACGGAGGGTTGTCAAGGTTGGTTCTAAATCTTGTAGCTTGCAGCGCATTGATGCTGACGATCTGCACAGAGAATTCTTCTTCCTGTTGTCGCACGAGATGTTCAACCCCTTCTACTGCCTGTTCGAATACTCTGCGCATGACAACTATACGCTTCAGATCAACCCGGCGTCTGGCGTCAACCCGGAGCATCTGAACTACTTCAAGTTCATTGGACGCTGCTTGGGACTTGCTATCTTCCATCGTCGTTTCCTCGACGCGTACTTCATCGTCAGCTTTTACAAGATGATTCTTAGGAAGAAGATCACTCTTTCGGACCTGGAGAGTGTGGATGCCGAGCTGCATCGCGGAATGACTTGGATGCTGTAAGTCAGCGTAAGCCGCTTGGTAAACTTAATGGCTGCTAACAATGTTGTTGGAAATCTAGTGAGAACGATATCACGGACGTCATTGACGAGACATTCACAACGACCGAAGACCGATTCGGCGAGATGGTCACGATTGAGTTGAAGCCTGGTGGGGAGAATGTTGCAGTAACGGAGGAGAACAAGGGAGAATACGTCGAGTAAGTATTCTGAATCCTGGGACAATTAGACTGTATCTTGCTCACCATCGTGTCTACGGTCCAAAAGATGCGTCATCGCTTATCGTATTCAGAAACGTGTCAAGGAGCAGTTCGATGCTTTTATGTCGGGCTTTAATGAACTTATCCCTCAAGAACTTATCAACGTGTTCGATGAGCGCGAACTCGAGCTCCTCATCGGTGGTATGTCAGAGATCGATGTGTAAGTCTTTCTGTTCAAAGGTTGAGGTCTCATCTGCAAGATCAGTTTCTGACTGACGGTTCATCATCATCAGGGATGACTGGATGAAGTTTACAGATTACCGCGGATACGAGATGAACGACCAGGTGGTGCAGTGGTTCTGGAAGTGCATCCGTGGATGGCCCGCCGAGCGCAAGTCACGCTTATTGCAGTTCGCCACTGGGACATCGAGGATACCAGTGAATGGCTTCAAGGATTTGCAAGGATCGGATGGGCCGAGGCGGTTCACAATCGAGAAGTCAGGTGACCCTAGCCAACTGCCAAAGAGTCATACATGCTTCAATCGGGTATGGAGATTTATTGTGGCCGCTGATCAATGTGGCTAACGAGATTGCTTCTATAGATTGATCTACCACCATACAAGGATTATGAGAGCTTAGAGCATAAGTTGACGTTGGCTGTAGAGGAGACCGTTGGATTCGGGTACGTTCTTACCTTCATAAGCTATCATCCTGCACCTTGGCACTGAACATTTGTGTTTACAGACAAGAGTGATTATCGGCAATCTATCCAGGATCAAGTCGCCAGCCTATGTACATTTATTCCGTCGCTTGCCTTCTCGCATTCGTCTCGGGAGAAGATTCAAAGCTGCCTTCGATTCTACCCCTGTGCTGAGTGCTCCTCTAGGACGACGGACTCTTTCCTTGCTTCCAATCTTTGCTTGTGTCTTTTGAGCGCTCGTTGTTTACATATGGAAGAAGAATATCACAGTTTACCCCCCACCCAACTTATAGTAGAGATGCAGTATCTTGTAATAAAGATAGACTAAATCATGCAAACATGACTGGAGAATGTGGGCAAGGAAAGATCAAAATAACATGGCAAAAACATGATGCATTAGACTTTCTCGAATGCAAAGGCAAGGTAAACGTCTAATGGAGGAAGCTCAGAATTAGAAAATATTTCGTGCTGCCGGGGTCTGAGGAGAGGCAACTCACTGGCGGCTTCCCACTGATCTTCGTCCATGTGACTCTCACCATTTGCATCAACAACGTTCATCTTTTGTAATAGAGGACCGAACTCGTTATGCTCCTGGTTTTCCTCGAATACCTGATGAAACTCCTTTTTGTATTTGAGGGTGAGTCCGTACGAAGACGCTAGCCTATAGTGAAAGGGAGGTCGTAAATCATGAAACTCGTGAAAGTTGAGGCAAAGGGAAATACGCACTTCTCAAATTCTTCCCAGTGAACCACGTATTCGGGAACGTCATCCAC